TCTCTTCTACATAAACAAGGAAGCAGTATGTAAAACTGTATATTCATGAAGGATGTACAATAATTTGTCCATTAAAAGTAAAAAGGGAAATGATGGGTTTGTGGTTCATACCTGCAATCTCAACTACACAGGAAGACATGGAACAGAGAGGACAGTGTGACTACCATTCAAGACCAACCTGGTCAAGAGTTAATGAGAGAAACTACTGGAAAAACAAACTTAAAGAAAAAAGACTGGGTATAGGTTTAAATAAGTAGAGTGCTTGCACTAGGCTTTGAGTTCAAATTGCACTACCCTAAATTATATAAATAAATAGCACAAAAAGACTGAAAGTTGGAGACATGAAAATGCAATTCATTTGCTCTTATCGTGAAATTGATTACCCCAAGCTGTCTGAAAAGAATAGCCATTTTTTGCATTCCACTCTGGTTTTATCTGATGTGGTCTCATAAGAGCAAAATCAAATCGTTGGTCAGGCTGAGTTTTCATCTGGAGCTCAGAAGACTCCTCCAGACACATTCAGTTCCTGTGCAAAATTCATCATTTGTGATGGTTGTTAGACAAAGATATCTTTAAGCACTGGGTACTGTCCTCAGTGTCTAGGCATATCTGCCTCTCACCATGTGGCAGTTTAGTGCTTCAAGTACAGCAGAATAATCACAATTGTCATGACCCTTCCCTGTCAAGGCTGGGTCATTCCATATTTCTGGCTCATTAAGCATCCATATTTTCTGCCTCTACACCTTTCTGCATTTCAACACCTTATGAATTTTCCCATAACTCCACTTTCTCGACCCTCATCCTTTTTACCAGCATTTCTCACTGCCAAATCAAACCATTTTCCTATCACATCACTTATGCGTCATTGAGTCAACAAATATCTCTAAGCAACTGCTAGGTTTCATGTCTGTATTCTATTTCCCCAGGTATCTCCATTCTGATGTGGACAGATTATTTCTGTCTCAGCACAAATTCGTATGTTGGGATCCTCATACACAATGGGCCCAAATGGACCCATTTTGGTATTCTGATCCCCTTTTGTGTGAATTTAGAATGGAGTTCACAAAAGTTCATACACAAACTATGGGAGTATATATAAATGAAATCCTATTAATTTCTAATTTCAAGGATTTGTACATGAAATGGTCTGAATAGATCTTGCTGAATTTTTAAGCTACTTAAAAAAGCAAAACTAATGATTTTAGAAAAATATGAAGTATTGTAACAGTTATTCGTTTATATCATGAGATCACAGATTAATCCTTTGTTGAAGAAAATTTATCACACTACTTGGAGATATTAGGGACTCATCTCCACCACTATTAAGGATTTTTGGAGCCAAAGGACCTCGTTAAGATATATTCATCAGTCTTAGTTTTCGGAGAACAGTTCAAGTGAGTGTTTGGTGTCAAGAGATTAGATCTCTAGATGGAAGAAGACTTCTTGGAGAGGAGATAATAAATATTAACTCACCTGACTGCTAACCTGGTGTCCAGGGATTAGAGAATAAGAAAGAAAAATTATAGTGTGCAGAGTATTGCTCCATGGCAAAAAGATGTTCTCAGGACTGGAATAACAAGGGAGAAATCTGCCTAGTGAGCAGACACAGAGCTGTAAATACTTCCTCTGCCACTAGCAACTGCTTGTGTGAGCCTTGGTCTGGAAGCAGCCTGGTAGTTTACTTTGGAGTTCGCATCCACTTAAAGACTGATGATTGAGGATTTCCTGCTGTCCTGACTATCAAAATAGCTTAAATTTCCTTTGTCAGCCAAAAAAGAATCTTTCTTTCCATGTAGAGACTCTCTCCATGAAGAAATCAGATCCTGGTAAGTTCAAGATCTCCACAGGAGTTGCAGGACTGCATCTGAGAGATGGAAATCAAGCACATTTACCTAAGGTCACCTGAGAGCCAGTGTTCCCCAGCTCAGAGCTGAGAGATAGCTGTGGCTGTTTGTATGATTAATTCCTGGTTATGTTTATTTTAAGTACTAGAAAGGGAAATGAACATTTGACTTGGAAATATAGGATCATCATTGACAGTGACATGATGAAAATAGAAGCTCAATTAGAAGAGGGACTGAGAGACTTACATTGGTATCAGTGTCAGTAGAATATGTGTTCAAGGACCTTTGTATTTGATCAGGTAAAAAAGAAAAGCAGTGAAATCCTTGTGGGAGGATACACATTTGTTATTTCTAAGGTATCACACAATTATGGTTTTGTTATTTATCTTATACCCATATTCCACAGCTTTCAGCATTTCAGTTCAAGTTTCCAGTTTACTGCTTCTTTTACTTTATTTTTGTCCTGAATATTTAAGTTATATTTAGGGAAACAAGTTTATCTACTTCACTCTGAGTTTTTGGCTTATTCAAATGATTTGATCATCTAAACATTACATGTAGTTTTCTTGATGTTGTTCTAAACATATTGTTTACTTTAAAACTGAGATCTTTAATTTTTCTGATGTTCTGGTAATGTTCAGGGGTAAGGGTCACTGCCTGTTCTTCAAATAGACAGCTATTGATACCTCTTTTATTTCACATTTCAAACTTCTGCAAACTCACTAGAACTGAACCTTTCCATGTGTTAAATATCAGTGTATACTGAGCTTTAATCACTGATTCACTCAACAAATAGTGATTGGGAATCAGGAACATGCCACAAAATTTGTGGAACATTTTCATTATATTCTTTTATGTCTAAGTCTGCCAATTTAATTATTAGTATATGATAATAGCATTAAATTATTCATATTAAAATCACTTTTTACTTCTTCCACTTTCTTGGTGCTCTATTTAAATTTAGCTAATACAGCTTTTTCAAAATCATTAAATTTCACCTCTTGTACTTGAATGTTTCCCTTTTGCTTTAATTTCATTTTATTAGATGTTCAATTTCATACAACCGTTAAACACAGAAATGTGAACAAAGAAGTAGTCTCTGCTCATTTGGATCTGGCATCAGGATGCTGAGACTCAGCACAGTGTGGGGAAATGTGTGTGTGACTCAGTGTCCTCAGGGAGCACCACAGGCAGGATTCTATCCAGTGTGAAATGGGGAATTGCCATGGTGTGTGCAGAGGTTTCAGAGCATGTTCTGAGGAGGCCTTTGCATGTTATTTGAATCACAACCAAGATTGAAGTGTGCCCACTGAGTTTGTCCAAAAACCAGAAAACTAAAATCCCAGTAATAACAATCAAAAGATACCTCAGAAATAAATGGCAATTGGGATCTCCTGCATCTGCCCCAGTGCATAAATAACGATAGATATTTGTTTTTCTGTGTCTCACTAATTTACCAGAATGAAAAATAACAATTGCATTTCACGATGGCATTTATAAAGTTGATCTCAAATGCAGAGAGTGTACATATTGGTTGACAGAAACTGAGGAGGGGAAAGAAAGAATGGGAAAAGAATTAATAATGGGTAAAAAGATATGGTTTCATAGAAAAATATAATTTGGTGTTTGCTCCACAGTAGAGGGACTATAGTTTCCAATTCAATATTGGAGATTTAAAAATAGCTAGTAGGGAGAATTTTGAGTATGATAAGTTTTTAGATAATGGATATGCGAATTATCCTGATTTTTATCATTAAGCAATGCTTTTTGAAAAATCATGTGGTTGGCTACAGATAAGCTAATATGTACAATTATAATGTGTCAAAGTGCAATAAATCTAAAATTAATAAATTATTACTGCTTAAGGAAACATGTCTTCTAATATTTTACTTAAAATTGCCCAAATTAGTGAACTTCTTGGAATTTATATTTTATTTTTTCCCTTTGAGCTTGTTTGCTTTTTGTCAGTTTAGTCTATTTTGCAACAACCAAAAGGTATATCTTTTGACTTTTAAGAAATTTTGTTTAGATGTTTACCGTTTTTTCTATTCCCAACTGTGATATGGTTAGGGTTGGAATGCAGCCAGCAACAAGGAAGAATTTTTTTCTTTTTCTACCATCCCTCCAGGAACACCTGACTCTCTCTCTCTCTCTCTCTCTCTCTCTCTCTCTCTGTCTGTCTGTCTCTCTCTCCCTCTCTCTCTCTCTTCCTCTCTCTCTCTCTCTCATGAACCAATTGTTGTAAGATTTTTTAGTGCTAGAGATAGCCACAATGTCTTGCCTATGCTGTTTAAGCTGTCTACACAAAGCTACCCTTCCAACTCAATTTTTACGTTTCTTTGAAACAAGGGTAGAAATGGTGATGGTAAAATCTAGCCTCAAGGTTAATGGCTATGGAAATTTATATCATGGAATTTCTGGTTTCCAGTTCTTATGCTCTTCTGTAGACACAACAGCTTGCTTGGAATATTTTCCTTTTTCATAGTAAGACTGGGTGAGACATCACCTCTCAGCACCCTATTTTTTGCTATTCTTCTAGTCACAGTTGCTTCCTCGTGACCTCGCACAACAGAACCAAGAATCTTCCACAGGATCTTTGCATTGCAGCTCCTCCTACCTAGCACAGACTTTCCAGGTGAGTCTGCAACCCCTCCTTATGTTCCTGTGAACTTTCTACAAGAGTCACTAATCTGCTATTTCTAACTAAATATCCAGCAAAAAGTACCATTTCCAATGAAATTTCTCTTATATTTCCCATTTTCCTTCTAGGTCCCTAAATCTTCTAACATGTTAAGTAATGATTTCTTTACCTAATTGTATGTACTTTCATTTCTTTTTGTATTTCCCCCTCATTCAATTTAAAAACATTTGTATATCGTAAGCATTAATCATTTCTTCCACAGTAGCTACAACATGATATGTCTAGGTTGTATTCCTCCAACATATGAAAAGTTAATGTTTTAAATTTTGGATACATTAACTCTTGATAAAACATCTGGAAAGGAATTCCCAATTGGAGATGGTAAGTGGATACAGAAGAGGTTAACAGATTCAAATACAAAAGTGTAGAATATACAGAAAGCATGCCTCTATGGTTAGTAGTGTATAGTTGCATCATGTCTCTTCCTTTTTCTTTTTGTTAGGAACATAAGCCATATGGATTTAGAGAACAACACTCATATATCAGTATTTCTGCTTCTGGGAATTTCAGAGGACCCCACAATCCAGCCAGTCCTCTTTGGACTGTTCCTGTCCATGTACCTGATCACTGTGCTTGGGAACCTGCTCATCATCATGGCCACCATCTCAGACTCCCACCTGCACACACCCATGTACTTCTTCCTCTCCAACTTATCCTTTGTGGACATCTGCTTCCCCTCCACCACTGTCCCAAAGATGCTGATAAACATCCAGATACAGACCAAGGTCATCACCTATGCAGACTGTATCACCCAAATGCTTTTTTTCACACTCTTTATAACATTGGACATCTTTCTGTTGACTGTGATGGCCTATGACCGCTGTGTGGCTATCTGTCACCCCCTGCATTACACAATCACCATGAATCCCAGGTTCTGTGTGCAGCTGCTCCAGGCATCCTGGATAGCAAGTGTCCCTAATTCCCTGATACATAGCTTACTAGTGCTGCGACTGTCCTTCTGTGCTCACTCGGAAATCCCACACTTTTTCTGTGAAGTTAATCAGGTGGTCCACTGTGCCTGTTCTGACACCTTTGTTAATGATCTGCTGATGTATTTTACATCTCTAATACTGGGTGGTGGTCCCTTTGCTGGCATTCTTTACTCATACGTTAAGATATTTACTTCTATTCGTACAATCTCCTCAGCTCAGGGGAAGCATAAGGCATTTTCCACCTGTGCATCTCACCTCTCAGTTGTCTTCTTATTTTATTGCACAAGCTTAGGTGTGTACCTTAGTTCTTCCACAAGCCAAGACTTATACTCAAGTGCAAGAGCCTCGGTGATGTACACAGTGGTCACCCCCATGCTGAATCCCTTCATCTACAGTCTGAGGAATAAGGATGTAAAGAGAGCTCTGAAAAGACTTTTTGAGAGAGAAATTATAAGCATGCCATTTGTGCTGAGACTAAACAAGTGCCCATGATGGCAGAACACATACCTTCAGGGTCAGTCTGGGATGGTTTGGTCAGGTGGAGGAAGTAAAGCTTGTTGACTCTATTTTTTCTTAGTGTTTCTGGATCTCCTATATAAGCTTCTTTACAAAGTTAAAACAAAATCCACTTCAGTGCTTTTCCTGCTCTCTATAAAATCATCTCCATCTTATCTTTTCTCAAAGATTTTCCCCCTTTGTTTCAGAAATAATTGGAAATTCCCATTGATCACATAGGACATATTGTTAGGAATCATTTCATTTCAAATGACATACCACACTGAGTCATTTTCTTGTCTTTTACTAAAACAATGATAAGACATATTCTTTTGGCAAGCACTGCATTTGGGGACTCTGACTATTCATTGGATTTTATAGTAAAAATATCCAACACTATAATTTTTCCTTAGCATGTTCGTCAATCCTCCTTATGCTGTTTATCTTCACTTTGTGACAATGCAGTCTTTTTCATATTAGAAATTTTCATTGGTGCTAATTAAACTTGAATCTCACTTTGAAGATCATGTATCTCAGCTAGGTGTCCTCCATGGCTATCATAATTATGGGCAAAATAGCTCTCTATCATCTCCACTCCACAGGTATTGACTCTCCAGTCCTTCCCAGGTGTGTATATATATATATGTATACACACACACACACACACACACACACACACACACAACTATTACAGAAATGTTGACAGAATACAAATGCTTAACAGATGGTAGGTTGTGGGGCCCACACCTTGAGCCCCTCCATGAAAACTATTTCCCAGTGGTTGCTGTCAAACCATAATCCTCCTGATCACTGCCTCCTGAGTAAGCATAACCCACCAATGCCTGGCTGCTTTCTTTTCTGTATGTGGCTTATTTCCCATAGCACAATGTCCTTAAATTCCATCCACTCTTTCACAAGTGACCAGATTTCGTTTGTTATTGGTGAATAATATTCCACCTCATGCACACACATAGACACATACACACATATATTATATATATTATATATATGTATATAGTGTGTATATCTATATGTATGTATAATCATATAAATAATTAAACTTTATCCCTTCATCTCATGATAGGCATGCAGGTTGAATCTATGCCTTAGCTATTATGAATATTACAACAATTTACATGAATGATCAGGAGTATTTTTGGTCTTCTGATATGATTTCCTTGTTACCACTCTTCATATCTTATTTGTGATGTTGTGATGTTTTTCTCAATGTACATTTATGGAAGGTGAGCAAATGGAACATGGATCTCTCTGTGTCATTTCCTACCACTCCATATTAATCTGCAATTGTCTCACATAAAATGTTTATGAACTATTAAGTGGCCAAGTGAAATTTCAGAGTAGCTGTTTTCAGGAAGTTCACATTCTCACACATTTACATTTCCTCTTTATTTCTCAATTTCTTTTCACTTTCCCCCACATAATCACGTACTATCATAGCAAATCTGTGTTACTCAGTTTTCCTATTACTGTGACATGCATGTCAGGGAAAGAACTTATAAGAGGAAAGATTTATTTAGGATCATGGTTTTAGAAAGTCAGTCCTTGGTCAGCAGGATCATTTTATTATAGGCTGTGTGAGACAGAACGTATTGAAAATAAACTAAAACACAAAAGACTTAGTACATGGTTTAATTTGTTGAGTGTTTGCATAAGCAGTAGGTCTTGAGTTAAATTCAGATACCAAAAATGTATAAATTTAAAAGAACAAAATGCAGACCTAATAATTGGAGATGTTGAAATTGCAATTAGTTTGCTCTTGGTGTGAGACAAATTACCCTAAACAATAACCATTTGTTAGCCTTGTCGTCTTAGATCTGAATTTCAGGCATGGCTTGGCTTGTTTATCTGGTCTGGTCTCACAAAAGCAAAATCAAACCACAGGTCTGAATGTGTTCTCATCTGGAGCTCAGGACGTCCTCAAGACATATTCAGGTCCTGTGCAGAATTCAGTATTTGTGATAATCTAAATGAAGTCCCATCATCTTGCTGGTTGTTAGACAAAGGTCACTGTCAGCACTGAATGCTGTCCTCAGAATCTGGCCATATGGGCCTCTCACATCATGGCAGCACAGAGCTTCACATCCAGCAATATAATCACCATTGTCAGAACCATTCCTTAACATTGCTGGATCATTCCATAACTCTGACCCATTAAGCTTCTGTATGGCTGCCTGTACCTTTTACCACACTTCAACACTTTGTGGATTTTCCTATTACTCCATATTCTTATTCCTCCACTAGTCTGATTCATTTTACCAGCATTTCTCATTTTTCCCAGCATACCACTTCTGTATTCATTAAGTGAAGAAACATCTACTGAACATCTCTGGATTCCAAGTTCATAGCCCATGCTCTCGCTGAATTTCCATTCTGTATGAAAGGCACATTTCTATCTCCTCTAACATTCACATGTTTGGATCTTCACATCCATTGGGCCCAAATGGACTGAGCCCCATTTGTGAACTTAAAATAAAATTCACAGAAGTTCCAACCACAAAACACAGCATTTTGTATAAATTAAATGAGAGAATTCTTATTAGTTACAAATTTTAGGGATTTGCACATGAAATGGTCTGAATAGACCTTTCTGAATTTTCAAGATATGTAAAAATACACGACCAATTGTTTTGGAAAACTATTAAGTGTTGTATCACTTACTCTTTTATATTATGGGATCACAGATAACTCCCTTGCTGAATAAAACTTAGTTAAATCTTTGAAGATATTAGGGACTGTGTCCCCATCACTAGCGAAGGCTTTATGGGGCCAAGTGACCAAGTCAAGATGGTTTCATCAGTCTTAGATTTTGGAGAACACTTAAAGTGAGTGGTTGGTGTCAGGAGATTAGATCTCTAGATGGAAGAAGAGTTCATGGAGATCACATCATAAAAATCAATTCACTTGACATTTAGCCTTGTATCCTCAGAACAGAGAAGGAGAAAGAAAAATTGCAGTCTTCAGAATAATGTCCCATGTCTTGATGTTCTCAAGACTAGAGTATCAAGAGGGAAGTTTGCCTCTCGAATAGACACACTGAGCTCTAAATACCTCCCCTGCCATTGTCTTCTGCCTATGTGAGCCCTTGTCTGGATGGATCTTATATTAAGTTATACTTAATGTAAAATGTCTATATTCTTAAGTCTGAGATTTTTGGCTTATTCAAAGCTTTTGACCATCTATATTACATATAGTTTTCTCTTTGGAATCTAAAACACATCGTTTACTTCAGAGTCCTCATCTGTTTGGGGATAATGCTTGAGGACTTCCTGTTGTCCTGTCTGTCAACTTAACTTGAGTTTCCATTGCCAGACAGGGAGGAATCTGTACTTCAATGTAGAAACACTTCATCCAGAAAACCCACCCAGGAGAGTCCAAGATTCCCCAACATGTTGTCCAGCTGCATCTGGAAGAAGGAAGACAGGTACATTTACTTCAGGTCACCCAAGAACAAATGCAGCCCAGGCCAGAAATGAGAGATGGCTGTGGCAGTTTGCTTGTTTGTTTGATTAATTCATTGATGTGTTTGTTAGCCATGCTAGAAAGGGAAGTGAGCATTGATCTCAGCAATGCAGAGTCACTGTTGACAATGAAATGATAGCAATGCAAGCCCAGTATGAAGAGGGACTGAAAGGTTTAAAGTGGATTCAGTGTCATTAGAACATGTGCCAAGAACCTTTGTATTCAATCAGGTGGAAAAGAAAACAGTGTTACCCATAGAAGGTTATAAATTTGTTTTTCTGAGCTCGAGCACCATTTTGGTTTTCTTATTAATTTCCTGTACCCATATTTGACAGCTAATCAGCAATGTCACTGCAGTTTCTAGTTTATTGTATCTCTTACTCACTTTATGTCATTAAAATTAAATTATGCTTAATATAACACATCTATATTCTTAAGTCTGAGAATTTTGGTGTATTCAATTTTTTGACATCTACATTATATGTAGTTTTCTTTTTTATTCTTAAACACATTGTTTGCTTTAATGCTGAGGTATTTATTTTTTCTGATATTCTAGTAACATACAAGGATGAGGACCACTAAATGTTGTTCAAATAGAGAGGCATTGATTGCAGTGTTTGCTTTACATGTCAATCTTCTACAACCCAAGTAAAATATAACCGATCATGTGTCAAATGTCAGTATACCCTGAGTTATAATTCCTGAATCACTCAACAAACAGTGACCTAGCCTTGGCTACATAATATAAAATTTGAATGAATTTTTCAATATATTCTTTTATGCTTAGGTCTGCCAATTTAATTATTAAATCATGATGATAGCATTAAATTATTGGTATTAAATATTTTCTTTCACTTTTTATGCCCTGTTTAATTATAGCTAGTAGAACTGTTTTGAAACTATTAAATTTCACTTCTCATATATTAATATTTCTCTTTTCCTTGAATTTTATTTTATTATATGCACACTTACATATGATTGTGAACACAGAAATGTGAACAAAGATGTGACATTTCTGCTCATTTGAACCTTGCATCGTGATGTTGAGACTGAGAACAATGTTGGAAATGTGTGTGTGATGCAGTGTCTTCTAGGAGCAGCCACAGGAAGGATTCTATTCGGTGTGAAGGGAAGGAATTGTCATGATGTGTGCAGAGTTTAAAGAATTTGTTCTGAGGAGCTCTTGCATTTTGGTTGAATCCACAAGCAAGTCTAAAGTGTGCTCATTGGATTTGGCCAAACAGCTGAAAGCTGAAATCCCAGCAGTAACAAAGAAAAGATGCCACAGAAGGAATAGGGATAGAGATCTCTCATATTTGCTCTTGTCCATAACCACATTAGCTATTTGGTTATCTGTGTCTGGCTGTATAACAAGAATGAGAAATAACAATTTGGTTTTGCATGTGGGATCTAAAAAGTTGATCTCACCGACACAGAGTGTAGAATATTGGTAACTAGTGACTAGTTCTTAAACCTTTTATTTGAGATAATTTCAGATTAACATGCAGTGATTAAAA